TCTTGTTTGTGTAGTTGTTGCTGTTATGTGTTGTTAGTGGTCTCTCAGTGGATTGAATCCTCCATCATAGATAAGTAGGCCGATACTATTTTCAGATAACTTTATTATCCAAAATGATGGAGGTCTGAAACATACAAAAAGTAACATTGTAAATAAAATCAACTATCTGTTGGTAAGACATAAGTAATAGACTAACAAGTAAATACATAATCCTCTAATATAGGCCGGAAGTACTGCATTTACTTTCAGTACTTTCCCATGTGCAAATAAATTATGTTTTTGCAGTTGTATGATGTTTCATGACTGAATAAATGTGAATTGGACAACAAAGTTGAAAAAGCTAACTAGGATTGTTTGCATATTATATGCAAATTTGTGGTTTCCCTCATCCTAATATTATTACTAGGGTAATACATAATTCATAGCGCTATCTTCATATATGTCATCTTAATTTAGTTTTGTTTTTGTTTTCTATTTTCATAACCATTTTTTAATCAGTCATTATCAGGAAAATCCCCAACGCATATTATGGTGTATGTCAGTGTCTTGTTGTATTCTTATGTCAAAGATTTCCTTTATTTTCAACAAATTTTCTTTTGCTTCAACTTCAATAGGTGGTGCATGGAAGGTTTTATCAGGTTTACGTGAAGGTCAAACACAAGTGGATAATCCACAGAATCAAGAGGCAGCTTACTGGTCACATCCCATTGATCTGCATTTAACCACAAAAGGACTTCAAGGTGATGTGTCACTTTTAGTGTTCCCTTCTTTAAAACTTTTTATTATATACTTATTATATAGTAAGGATGAATTATTTTTTAAAAGTATAAAATGTAGTTGTGCCATAATATTCATAAAAGATGGATAACATTTTCAGCTGTTCAGTTGATGCTACTACCAATATTAAGTTTTGTGTTGAACATGTTATTTTGTTTGATTTCCTCATAGGCTGGCCAAAGGTACATTTTCAAGTGTGGCATCAAGATTCTTTTGGAAGAAATGAATTATATGGTTATGGTTTTTGTCATATTCCAACCTCACCTGGAATTCATGATGTTGAATGTCCTACATGGCGACCAGCTGGAGAATTCAGGGAACAAGTGTCACAACATTTCCTTGGAGGTGGTCCTCAGCTCAAAAACCCAGACTTAATATACAGTGGTGCAGATAGATACAGACTTCATACTGTGGCCATGGGCAAAGTTCACTTACAGCTTGGGGTAGTCCTCAGGAACTTTGATAAATATGGAATCGAATGCTGAATTTGGTTAGATATTTTCTGATCTTTTTTATTTATATTTCTTCAGAAAACATGTACAATTATAATTCATAGTTAAAGTAAAAATATGTGTATAGTGACCTATGAGAGAAAAGAAATTGCTGATGGTCACAACAGGCAGATTTTATTTATATTTAATGATCTGAAAAAGGTAAAAGAAAAAATGGCTAGATATTCATTTGAATTCATAATCATTTCTCGAAGACATTTTAAGGAAATATAACAAATTTGACATCTCAAATGCAGTGATATAAGAATAAGGGCTACTCCAGTAAAACATGTGTCCGACCCAAGACTCCAGATTTTGTAAAGGAGTGTGACAATTTATAAGAATTATATTAGAATCTAATTGATAATTTCTTTCAAAGTAAAAGGCAGGACCAAACATTTGATAGAAGTGATTCAGTTTGGAGTTTTGAGGTCAAGTAGATGTTTTAATAAGCAAGTCCTTTGATGTATTTTAATGTAATTTGGCAACATGTATATTTCATGATGTGAATGACTTTGCCACACAGAGATGAGGGAGGATGAGGTAGAGACCTGGTAAACACAGTATACCATTTAGTTTGAGATAAATTCTCTTATGTTCAATTGTTGTGAGCATGAAACAGTAAGTCAAAGGTCCTGGGTACAAGTTCTAGTGGAGGCATTGAAATAAATTACATCTTCATACATGATGGGATATTATACCTTGTAATGGACTCGTAACCAAATCATTACCTTCTGGCGAATATTTGTATAATCTTTCTTATCATCAGTAAAACTGTCTAGAGAGTTTTGTTACTGCAACCTTTGAAAATACCCATATGCAAGCTGTATAGATAATGCATATATACTACACAATATTGTAATAAAAGGTTATTGAATGTTCATTTGTTCCTCAACAAATTATTTAAGATGCTGAGGTACATGTAACAGGTTGTGATTGTAAATTTTAGATAATTTTTCAGTTAACATTACATCTATGTATTAACTATGTCAATCCTCAGTGTTGTGAAAACTGTTATCAAGGCTAGCCAATGTCATTACTTTAAAATAGCACAGAACAAGATCTTGTATAAATTGATCTTGTGTCAAATAATCCCATTTCATCAATTCATTGATCATGTATAAAGTTGTTCGCTTCAGATATCGAAAACTATTATACAATGCTGTAATAATATTTCAAAATGTGGAGATGCACAAGTCTAGAAGTGAAATTTCATTTACTTTTCTTATACACGTGTTTCAATAAAAAGTATTTACATGTACTGAAATATTTATTTCAATCTTTTTTTTTTATCATTTTGCACAATTTTTAAAGAGTTATGTTGCTAGCTAGGGTTTCTTGGTTAAACTAGTTTGACTAGGGTTATTCATTTATAAAAAAATCCCTACTGACTTTAATTTGCTTTTCTGATGAACTGCAATGAAGCTGTTCATGCCTGTTCTAAAACTTACATGTCAGCCTTGATACATTCCACAAATGTTTTCAGGTGACAACAAGCCCGTCCATAATTGAACAGGCCCAATCTGTGCATTCAAAGCAGTTGCTTCATTGACATGGGAAATAACTCTTAAGCAAGAAAAACACTCTTTTGTTAATATTTGTTATCCATTATATTAGGGAGCATTAAAGTTGAAACATTTCTTTATGGGTTAAATATGTTATAACATGATGCAAATGATATTTTTCTTTTATGATTAATATATATGCATTCAGCATATTTTGTCAGTCATATTTTGATTCATACATGTGGTACATTATAGTTTCTGAATTGTATTTAGTGTACTCTTTGTCATATACTAAATTGCAGAATGAGTTATGAAAATCATTTTACCACTCAAAAATCATTAAATAGGTTTAAAATATGCAATAGTTATTTCTTTTGTTTTAGTATGCGTGCTCAAAGTGTAAATGAGCTTATGCCCAGGTGCAACGTCTGTTGTCTATCCATAGAGCACCAACCAACTTTGTTCAAATGAATGATCTTGACTCTCTGTCAAGGTCATAGGGTCAGATGTTTGTCCAACGACTTCTAAAAAACCAAAAGGCTCAGGACATTGATATTTGGCCTGGAGCATGATTGGATGAAAGGATACCAAGGTTGTTCACATGAATGATCTTCACATTTAAGATCACAGGTCAAATGTGTTTGGAAATCAAAATTTCTTCTTTTGCAATGGGCAAAAGGTCCTAGGTTAATGGTATTTGTGTTGTAGCATATATGGATAAGCATTCAAGTTTACAGAAATTGACCTAGCAAAGCCTTCTGGGTAAATTGCAGAGCACGTGAGCACTTCAGACCTATTGATCCTCTTGTTATCCTAATAACAAGTTAGCAATGAAACAAAGTTTCAACATTAAATCAGGTTCTGAATTCTTAACATAGGATGCATGTTTTGTTGATGAAAATGTATTTATTGAATTAGATTCAAAGCCCACTTTCCTCTCTGATCAGTTCCCACATTTAACACAACACTAATACACAAACACAAACCTACTGGAGAGAGAGCCATCCAGTACTTCTACAGAAGTAATGACAACAAACTTTATTTTTAAAATCCAAGATAGCTGTCTGCCCAAAATTAACATACACAACAAGGAACCAAATATTTTGTGTCTACATATGAAATTTGAGAAAAATCCTTTCAGAAATAGTGATAACAAACTTTAAAAACAAATCAAAGATTTCTGTCTGTCTTTTAGTTTTTTCTGTAGGTTCCAAAAATGAACATTGCAACATGGGACCAAGGAGAACATACACATGAAATAAGTGATTGATCCATTCAGTACTTAATAGAAAATAACTTTTGTGCCAAGAAGTGTTTAAAGAACAGATTGTCAAAGGATGGACCACTGATGATGGACTAAAAACAATAACTACATCAGAGAGAAGACTTTGTTCAGCAAATGAGTTTTATTAATAACAAGTTTTATGCAGTACTATTTTTTCAATTCAACTGATCTTGATTTAAGACACAGTTAAAAAGTTACATGAAACAGGTAATCACAACAATAACATTAAATATGTGGATCATTTCACTCTGATGGGGTCTCATTCTCAAAGGGACAATATTGGGATGGGTCTATGAAACCTGATGGTATGTATTCCTTTTCAATCTCATTATTTAATAAGGCCATGAATTTAAATCTGATTCCCATCTTCTCAGGGTGTGTTAACATATGATATTGGCTCAACAATGTTTTGGCTGTCTCTTCGTCTTTGCTATTTTTGATTAAAATCTGAAAAATATGAAAGAATGAAAGGATTTAGTATAAAGTCGATACATGTATGTACCAGGTATACTTTGCCAGAAAACATTGTCTCACATCACAAATTAATTTTCGAGTCAAAAATGCATTATTGAGACTGTATTATAGTACCTGTAGTGAATTAACATGATCTTACCTGAAGTATACGTATGTGCCTAATATTACCCGTAGTGTATGTGCCTAATATTACCTGTAGTGTATGTACCCAATATTACCCGTAGTGTATGTGCCTAATATTACTTGTAGTGTATGTACCCAATACCTGTAGTGTATGTACCCAATATTACCTGTAGTGTATGTACCCAATATTACCTGTAGTGTATGTACCCAATACCTGTAGTGTATGTACCCAATATTACCTGTAGTGTATGTACCCAATATTATCTGTAGTGTATGTACCCAATATTACCTGTAGTATATGTGCCTAATATTATCTGTAGTGTATGTACCCAATATTACCTGTAGTGTATGTACCCAATATTATCTGTAGATGTATGTACCCAATATTACCTGTAGTATATGTGCCTAATATTATCTGTAGTGTATGTACCCAATATTACCTGTAGTGTATGTACCCAATATTACCTGTAGTGTATGTACCCAATATTACCTGTAAAGTATATACCAGATCTTATCTATAGTGTATGAACTAGACCTTACCTGAAGTGTAAGTACCAAATATTGCCTGTAGTGTATGGACCAAACATTACCTATGGTTATGGTACCAGATCTTAATGCATGTACAAGATCTTACCTGTAGTGTTTGAACTAGATCTTGCCTCTAATGTATGTACTTGATCTTGGCTATAATGTATATACCAAATCCTACCTGTAGTGTATGAACTAGACCTTACCTGTAGTGTATAAACTAGACATTATATGTAGTGTATCAACTTGACCTTACCTTTAGTCTGGCAAGAATGCCCATGTTGTGAAGAAATTCAGACTGAGATACAGGACCAAAGACTCTAGCTGCAGCAAATAAACAAGAGTATCAGTGAAACTGATGAATGTTCACTGAAAACAAATTCATTTGACACAAAATTTTAACAAATGGCAATAATTCTGTAAATAGGGGTTGCAGACTCTGAATTTGGTACACTGCATATTCTTTTAGTATGACCAAAGTTTACACATTATTTCATATTATCCTAACATCTAAAGCTATGCTCATGACAAAAAAAAAATAATGAAGTGTAATAACTCTGTACTGAGGGGTCATGGCCTTTGACTTTACCGCACTGCACCTTGCCTTTGTCTGACTGATTTATACAGCACTCTGTATTGTAATTAAATGTAGGAAGAGTAATGCTTCAGACATAAATTTTTTACAAAGGGCTATAACTCTGTAATGAAGGGGTTGAGGGCCCTAACATTTGTACACTGTATATTGTTTTGGTATGATCATTATATACACAAAGTTTCATTATCCTACCTTGAATGCATGCAAAGTTATGCTGTGGGCAAAATATTTTTAACAAAGGGCAATAACTGTAATTATGGGGTCAAGGACCCTGAATTTGGTACACAGCAATTTTGTTGTAGTATGATTAATGTATACATTGATGCTTGTTTAACTGCGGGCAAACTTATGTTCCAGAGAAGAAGTTTTTAACAAAGGGCAATAACTATGTAATCAATATGGAATTTGTTTCATTTTTTTTTTTTTAAATATTCAAGTGAAAGAAAATATTACCTATTGGTTCTGCCATTGACTTAAGGTAAGCAAAGTCCACATCGGCTGTCAAATCAGCTGTCCCAGGATCCTTTAGTGCATTATGCTGTTTGTGATTCTTAAATGCCTGCAATATACAACAGTTACATTTTTAACATCAACACAAAATACATATTCCTTTAGATGTCAAGAACTGCCATATAATCACAAAAGACACTATAACTGACCTAGTCTTGGTTCCATCCTAAATAAAGATTGATGTGATGTCCTCATACCTGCATTGACCGACCAATCATTATATAGCATTGTAACGTGTAATTCTATTGATATGATAAACAAAAGGCCCATGGGCCTTTAGGGTCATCTGACTATAAAGACCTATAATATAAAAGAAGCCAAATAGTGTTAAAAAAAATTGCTCAACAACTCTATAGCTTAAAAAGAATACTTGCACTACACAAATGCCATTACTTCAGACAATACATGCTTCAGGCCTAATATCAAGACCCTTGACCTTTTGGTTATTGAGAAGAAGTCGCTTGAGAATTTTAACATATTTGACCCTTGTGACCTTGAAAGTGGGTCAAGGTCATTCATATTAACTTGGTAGTCCATCCTTTTTTCATAAGCAGGAGATGCTATGGAAAAAAACACACCGACAGTGATCCATCAGAAATGATGGTGCCTGCTTTTGAGTAACAAATCTCACCAGGTTATAGAAATATTCATATTATCTTACTCTAAATGTGTCTGTTTTATCTCCATCATGGCCATAGTCTGTGATGAGAGAAAAACCCCCTTCCTCTTCTATTCTCTTTGCTAACTCCATTACAACGACCCCGCTTACTGGTGAAACTTCTACATGGTTACGTGGGTCATTTGGCTCTATATGCTGGTAAAGAAAAACAAAGAAGTTGATGGTATATTATAAGAAACACATTCATTTATTGTTAACTTTATGAGGATGGGTCATATAACATCAAAATATGTGATTTTAACAGCATGTTTCCTACTTGTATTGATCAAACTATTTTTCTCTGGTAGTTCTCATTATATTTTCAATGACTTTCTTATAAGTGATTGAACTTTCTTGTCTGTGTTAGATCTAATTGTATCTTGCCAAATATAAAGACAGCCATAATGTATACTGTTAAATCATTCATTATCATGGTAGTTTTATTATTGTTGATTTTGTTGGTACTCCCATTCAACAAATGTCCCCAAACTGTTAATATTACTATAACTACCTGGACAGATTAATTGAGGTATGATTATCCACTAAATCAAGAGTCCACCAAATAGTATTTATTGTAAATAACAATTTTACAGTTTGAAAAATATTGTTATTTTTCCTAAAACTATCGATGAAATCGTCTTTCCTTTGATTCTGTAGACAGAACTTTCAGAATCTTTACAGGACTGCCAGTACTGAATTTTTACATTAGAAAGTATTTCAATATAAAATCTGTTTAAACTCAGGACTCTCGAAATCATACGTCATCATTCCAAATGGAAAGAATTCTATTCCTTATTCTATTTATAGTAGGTAGAGTACTAATAATTATGATCTATGTTTGGATAATGACATCACTACATAAAACCTTGAATTGGTAGACATAGTTGCTTTAATAAAATAAAACACTGAAAAATACCTATTCACAGTTAATATGACTACAACAGATGAGCTCAATTTCCTACCTTTAAAAATGCTTTTGCTGGGAATGTTTGACCACCAGCAAGGACATATTTGAAATCTGCATCTGCCTTACCAGCAGCTATCTCATCTTCATTTGATTTTCTGGTATTAACATCAATCATAACTTCACGCCATCCTTCTTCTGTTTTCTGAGAGAAAAACAAGAGGCCCACTGGCCTTAACGATCATCTAACTATAAAGACCTATATAAGTCTTTGGCAGAATTTGCATAAAAAAATTACTCAACAATTCTAAAGCTTATATAGAGGACATTGTTAGTTCATAAAAAAAAATTCTGCAAAATTGAGATCATATTCTTTATCCATACTACTGCACAATGCCATTACTCTGGACCTATTGCTTGTTGAAAAAGAAATTTTGAGATCTCAACTCATTTGATCTAAGGTCATTTCTTTGAATAAATAAGTAGTTCTTAATCAACATATGTGAAAGAATCAATATCAACAGCCTGGACCCTTTTATTATTGGGAAGTGACTTTTTAACACATTAGACCCCTGTGACCTATAAAAGTAAAAAGGTCAATTACATGAACAGAATTGGTAATCCTTCATCCCAGCATGCCACAGGCCCAAAATCAATACCTAAAGCCTTTTGGTTATTGAAAAGAAGTTGGTTAAAGGATTTTGACATATTTGACATGTGAACTTGAAACATTGTCAAGGTCAACAGTATGAATAAAGTTAGTGGCCCTTCATCCCAGCATGCTACAGGATCTATATCAAAACCTTTGGACTTTTAGTTATTGAGAAGAATATGTTTAAAAATATTTCAACACATCTGACTCCCATGACCTCAAAAGCAAGTCTTTAGGTCAGATGACTAAAAAATTAGCCATTACAAAAATTGAAGAGGCTCACAGATTGTCTAATATCGACGCTGTCATTTGATATCTGTCCTGTAAAAGTGATTTCCACATCATAATCATAATACCTTACATATCACTAATAATCACTTCCAAAAAATATGGCATGAATATTTTGTATAAGTGGATATGTTGAGTGCTATTTATCCAGGTTCACAATATGATGATTGACTGTGTGGTGAAAAAGAGTTTATTCAGTATCCAACCTATTAAAAAGAATTCACATATCAAATACTTACATGAAATTTAAAAATTGGTAGTGCATCAAAGAATTCATTTGCTATATAACAGGAAAATCCTTTAGGGACTTCTCGTAGATCCTTATACCAGCTAACATTTGGTCCATGTCTAGACTTTGCTGTTTTGTATGGAGGTTCTACATTATCTACATCACCCTCGACCACCTTCCCTGGGTTGCCTGTCAATTTCTCTTCTTGTAGCTGTGACATCTTAGGACTTACTTCAACCAAATGTAAACTAACTTTTTCTCCGAAGGCTGGAAACTGAGCAAATGTCTAAAAGAAAATGATTGAAAATCTTCTTGAAAGTAACTTATATAAACTATCACCAGACTTACATTTTGTTTGAAAAAACAAGACCGGAAAAAATTTCAAATAGATTGTACAGTATCTCTTCCAAAAATTGTGTCTTGTACAATCAAAATTTATATAATGAAAATTTTTAATGAAATACTGTAAACAAAAGTTAAAGTTTTTGTTCTGAAAGCAATGTTCTAAAATTAAGTTATGTAGTGTTTTATAGAAAACTTTGCAGGTACAACAGCTAATCTGTTTGTGCTAATTTGATGAAATATGATAATATACTTTAACAAGAGATCACAGACTGATCTTGGTGGCCACCATTGTTTAGTCTTTATTTGTGCTTCAAAAGTTGATCTTTTCCCTTCTTTTCTACCTTTTTTCTCCATTCATGTTCTAAATTATATGTAATCTAAAAATTCCTCTTAAGAAATAGCAATTGCAATCGTTGACTGTCAAATCCAAAATTACCACCTACAAATCATTTCATTTTTTCTAATCCGTCCGAAAATCAAAAAGGCACAACTAGGGACCAACAGTGACCTCCATAAGAAATTTGAGAAGAAATCCATCCTGCACTATTCAAAAAATAGCGATAACAAACTTTCACTGTTAAAATCCAAAATGGCCATCTGTCAGCCATTTTGATTTTCTAATCAGTCCCAAAAACAAAATGGCACAACTTGGAACCAAGTACAATCTTCATATGAAATTTAAGAATGATCCATAAAGTTGTTTTATGGATTGATGGATGACGCAACACGGATGTTGGGCCATTTGAATAGTGAAGTGTATGATGATGGTGGGCTAAAAATGGAATTTCTTAATAGCTTTGCATTTGATTTATTTTTCTCTTGTGATGTACAAGCATTAAAATGTACATAAGAAAATACTGACTTTGAAATGAACATATTGTGGTAACCTTGTCAATATTGGAAATGTTTACCACTGTGAAAACCAGCTTAAAAAGCTCATTCTTACCCGCAGCATGTCATCAGCAAGTGTTCCCCGTCCAGGCCCCAGCTCAACTAACTGGAATAAAGGCGGCATCCCTGACTTCATCCACTCGTTAATGCACCATATCCCAAGGAGCTATGAAGATAACATTTTAGAATATAATAGACATGTATGTGTTTGGTAAGTATTTAAATGCCATTTCTTTCAGAATTTTGATTTTCATTGTTTTTTTCATTTTTTAAATCAAAGAATCATTGCATTAGATGATTAAGCTTAATAGAATATCAGTAAAAATACAATGGCAATCCCATAATTCTGTTTTGTTGAAATATGTTCCATTCACATGTCTGTTCTACTTCTTCACCATCAGATTACTGTAAAAACATTACTTTTCAGTGAGTTTTATTTTTGCTGAATATGAGGTAAAACCACAAAATTTGAGTCACTTGCACATATATGATTTTACAGTCTATGAACTAAATATACACCGATTCTAAACATTAATGTAATGGTACTGAAAACTATTACGAGAGTATAAACATGTGTAAATATGAATGTCATACAAACCTCGCCAAACATTTGGCTAACTTCCGGTGAAGTAATGAAGTCACCCTCTTGTCCAAACACATCCTTCTTCATGTAGTAACCCTGTTGATTTAAATTTTTTTTTATAAAAAACATGTACTAATATTGAAATAATGATATGAATAGCTAATGTAATGTCAACCATATTTGTGGAAATATCAAAGAAACAAAAGGCCCATGGGCCTTAATGGTCATATGACTATAAAGACCTATATATGAAAGAGGCCAAATTGGCCTATAGTAAATGGCTCAACTACTCTAAAGCTTACATAGAAGACATTGTTGGTTCATAAAAACATTTTCTGCAAACTTGAAACCATATTCTCTATAGATGCTACTACACAAATGCCATTACTCTGGACCAACTGCTTGTTGGAAAAGAATTTTTAAGATCTCAGCTCACTTTACCCAAGAGATCTTGAATATAAGTGAAGGTATTTTATTAAATAAATTGCAAGCCCTTCATTGACTTATATTATGGAGAAGAGGTGGTTTGAAGTTTTTAACACATTTGACCCCTTTGACCTATAAAAAGAAAGAAAAGGTCAACTACATGAACAAAATTGGTAATCTTTCATTCCAGCATGCCACAGGCCCAAAATCAATTACCAAAGCTTTTTGATTATTGAAAAGAAGTTGTTTAAAAGATTTTGACATATATGACCCCTGTGACCTCGAAAGTAGGTCAAGGTCAATAATATGCAAAACTTGGTAGCCCTTCAACCCATCATGCTACCAGCCCCATCAGCACCCTGTGCCTTTTGGGTATTGAGAAAAAGTTGTTTAAAGATTTTTACACATATGTCCCCTGTGACCTTGAAATTGATCAAAGTAATTCATTTTGACACACTCTAGCCCTTCATCCAATCATTCTACAGCCACAATATCAGCAGCACCCCGGGCATTTTAGTTATTGAGAAGAAGTTGTTTAAACATTTAAACACATTTGACACCTACAGCCTTGAAAGTAGGTCGAGGTAATTCACTTTTACAAAATTGGTTGCCCTTCATCCCATTATGCTACAGGTCCCAACAGCACCATGGAACTTTTGGTAATGGAGAAGAAGTTGTTTAAATATTTCAACACATCTGACCCGTGACCTTTAAAGTAAGTAAAGGTCATTCATTTTAAGCCCTTCGTCCCATCATTCTACGGCCCAATATCAGCACCCTGAGTCTTTTGGTAATTGAGAAAAGTTAATTTGAATACAAAGTTTACACATGGCAGGCAGCGCACGACAACAAACGAAACATGAAGGATATAAGTCATCATGACCCTTTGGGTTAGATGATTTAATAACCAGTAATCCTAATTCATGTGTGTACATACTACATCCATGTGCTTCAGATTTCTAAACAGATTCTACAAGCCCTGGGTTCCACATATATTCAGTTTATACAAATACAAAACAAAATCCAACTTTGTTTTAATAACACACTCTTTCTTTTAGACACAGACATTCAAAAAGAAATTGTTTAAAGTGGTTTTCACAATATCTGATTTCTATTTCATTTTCTCAAATTTATCATCTAATAATAAGTCTAACAGGTGAATTTCTGACTAAGCAAGTGAAATTTTTTATCACTTTCAAAACATGGAATAGTTTTGCTAACGACACCTGATCAAATTTCAGAGCCTTTCTTACAGGAAATACATGTACAACCTTTTAATACAAAGGTTAATCATGAAAATGCAAATCTGTTCATTACATTTTCTACATGATGTTATCAGTTGTTATGATCCACCATTGTGCAATTTAAAAAAACTTGTCTTAACCAAAGGTATGCTGAAAATAGAACATATCTATAACAGGTGCATGACCTGATAAAATTACAACAAGAGGCCTAATGGCCTTAACAGACACCTGAGTTACAATGCTGTTGTTCTTCTTGTAACGAGTCATAGAAATTATCTTGTTAATAGAGAAAGATTACTTGCGGAAATTGCATCAACAAACTGATGTAGGCCTACATGATGGCCATTTTACGAGCGGAAATCCCAGATACATGACGTAACATATGCTCTGCTTTTGATAATGTTTTCTGCATTGAAAATATAAACCTTTTGGGGGAACACTGTACATTCTCACAACATCAACCGAATATCATACTCATTTACAGCATGTTCCAAGATAAGATTATGAACATGTTTTTAATGCAGGAGTTCCAGTATGGCAGGTATAATCTGTAATTTTACCGAAATAGCAGTTCATTAGCAAAATGTAATTTTACGGAGATAGCAGCTCTAAGATTAAGAAACAGGGGAAATGTGAAACCTTGGGGTCATGAAATTTAAATTTTGGTAAAGCACATTAAGGTCTTTCCATCCATGAAGAGTATTTGAATGGGGGAATAATTTTTGAAGTTTCGATCAATTTGACCCTTTTTGGCCCTGCCTCTCAAATCCCTGGAAGTGGGCACATATAATTTACAATTTAGATGCAGCTTTGTATGGCAAGCCGTTTTAACATTTAATCCTATTTCCTCTTAAGGGGATAGTTTTTTCACTTAAGTGAAATTCTTTTTCACTTAAGTGAAAAACAATTGCACTTAAGGGGAAATGAAACATAATGCAAATTATTAATACAACTTAAGGGGGAGAAAATCACTTAAGGGATTCTTTTTTTCACTTAAGTGAAATAAATCATAATGCATAATAATGTTTATTTCCCTTAAGTTTAAAAGAATTTCACTTAAGTGAAAAAGTGATATGTGCTGACATAATGCTAAATTACATTCACTTAAGGGATATTTTTTCCACTTAAGGTAAATAAAACAGTCAGTATGCTATCCACCCCCATTTCAAAATGGGAAGAGCCACTTCCTTTAACCTCGTTTTTCAAACTAAATGACAAGAAAAATATAGAGCATAAACAATTTCAAATGAAAAGGATCAATTTAATTAAAACAAAATTAATAAATCAATAAATAAATTATCATTTTAGTGAAAAAAAAAAAAAATTTATACCGGTAATCCAATTAGTGAATTCATTTTATTAAAATAAATAAATAAGTAAATAAATTGCAATTATTAACAGAAATTAACATTTATTATGAATCAATTAATGAATTTTAATCTATTAGCCAATTTTGCAAATAATGTATCAAATCATACTGAAAATTATCTATAAATTATTAACCAATTTAGGAGAGACTAAAAATAGTCCAAAACTTCAGTAGTTCCAATTCGAACCAAACTGTTTGCCGTAGTTTGCATCCCTTAAACTCGGGGAAGAAGGTCCTGGTGGTTGAGCATTATTCTGATTTTATCAGTCTTGTATGCAACACACCACTTTGGCTTCCGACTCGGGCTAGAAGGGCGGTAATATGGTCCCTGTATTACCAATCGGCTGGTCTAGTCTCCAGATGACAGTGGCTGAGGGGCAATCGCAAGGGCATTTAAATTTTCTGCAATTTATACTTTGCGAGTATATCACTTGTGCAACCCTGACACTTAGGCGCTGGAGATCCGTGCCTCCAGAAGTGTCCCCTTGTTGGGCTAGAGTTCATGATCATGACATCCCGTGTGTATTTCACTTTCTCCTGTCATCCGGGTCCTTGAGAAAACGTCACCACTTATGCGTCAGAGCAAGTAGAGACCAAATATTTTACACTTTTTACAGAGAGAATAGAGAAAGGGAGATTATGATAAATATCAAAATCTATTTGAATTATGTATATATTGCTAAGTGAGACATTTTAACGTTATCTTCATTTTAGTAGTTACTACCATGTAGAAGTTAACTGCAGGTCTACAGGGATAAAATTTTTTAGTTCAATACAGAATTACTTCCTGGTCAGAATAAATATAACAAAAAAATAGTGTTAAGTATCTTCAATTTTTATTTCCATTATGTATCATTTCACTTAAGTGAAAAAGATTTTTATTTCCATTATGTGTTATTTCACTTAAGTGAAAAAGATTTTTATTTCCATTAAGTATCATTTCACTTAAGTGAAAAAGAGTTTTATTTCCATTATGTGTTATTTCACTTAAGTGAAAATAAAATTTATTTCCATTATGTGTTATTTCACTTAAGTGAAAAAGATTTTTATTTCCATTATGTGTTATTTCACTTAAGTGAAAATTTTTTTTATTTCCATTATGTGTTATTTCTCTTAAGTGAAAAAGGTTTTTTATTTCCATTATGTGTTATTTCACTTAAGTGAAAAAGATTTTTATTTCCATTATATGTTATTTCACTTAAGTGAAAAAGATTTTTATTTCCATTATGTGTTATTTCACTTAAGTGAAAATTTTTTTTATTTCCATTATGTGTTATTTCTCTTAAGTGAAAAAGGTTTTTTATTTCCATTATGTGTTATTTCACTTAAGTGAAAAAGATTTTTATTTCCATTATGTGTTTCCTTAACTTATATAAAAGAAATCTATTTCCATAGTTTCTTCCCCTTACCAATCTTTTTTATTTCCACAATGTGGTTTTTCCGGTTAGTGAAAAAAAAACTAAATTCATACATGTTTTTCCACTAATCTGAAATTAATGTTGGGGATCATCATAGTGAAATACTTGTACAAAATCTTGCTTTGATATAAAAATATTGAGGAATATTTGAAGGTATATCTGACTTAATATGAACAGCCATTTTGTTATTAGCCAATCTCCATGAATCAACTATCAAAAGACATTGGGCAATCAAAATTTATGCCATAGCTTATATAAATATTGATTAAAAATTTGCAAAACTAAATGAGTAATTTTTATCAATAAGAAATAGAAGAATTCTTATACCAATTGGCAAAAGATAGTCTTCATGAAAATTACATTAATTAATATCTCGGTTAAATCATTTGTTTTAATCAATCCCTTATCCTTACAATTTCAACATACGAAAAACATGAACAAATTATTTTTGATTGTGTATGGAATGGCTAACCAGATGAAGTTAAAGAGACCAATTTCAAAACAGCTAATTATGTATTACAACATACATACACCATAAATCTATTAAACACATACATGTACATGGTTGTTTCTGTTTCTTCATTCATTTTGCCACACGACGCAATCGACCAGAGAAAGCGAATCTGATTGGTCAGATAGAAAATACCAAATGATTGGTTAATAAAATGGATTAGTCCAAAACTGTTGAAGAAGGTAGGTGTTCATACATCCCACTGCTTGTTTAAATTCACTTAAGTGAAAACGATTTTAACTTAAGTGAAATAATAAACCTCTTAAGACTTATAAAAATTATTTCACTTAAGTGAAATAGTTTTACACTTAAGTGAAATAAATCATAATGCGAAAAGATGTTTAATTACCTTAAGACAAAAATAATTTCACTTAAGTGAAATAAATTTATTCCACACTTCATCTTAAGAGGAAATAGGATTAAATGTTAAAACGGCTTGCCATAGCTTTGGCCATGGAGGGTTTCTCTTAAATTTCAGTGAAATTGGTTCAGGGGATTATGAGAAGTCAAAAATTTTAAAAGATTCATGGTGCACGCTGCATGATGCTGGACAAAAGACGATCACAATATGACAAATGATTGCTGACAGGAATAACCTACAGATACAGGGTTAGTGAGGACCTCCTTCATGTATTCTGCCACGGACATTGGCCCATTGACTTGGATACGAGATGTCAGGTACTTTGTGAGATCTGTAGGCTGTTGAGATTGTGTAGCTGTACAGAAACATCTATGGGAATATCTTTTGGCCACTGCAAAACACAAAATTTTACATCGTAAACTGGGAAAGAGGTTTATATCATATACAAGAGGTAACTGTGATATACATTCCCTGTATATGTATCATACAACACTAATACATTAAAAAATATCTGCATATTTCATGCAGATGCAGTGTAATAACTAAACAGAAAGACTTGGAGACACTGGTCTGAATATGGTCTGTCCATATATCTCTAACTTTGGAAAAAGTATGGTAAAGTTTCACTTTTACAATGAAAATAACGCATCACAAATGTCTATAATAAATACAATATTCCAAATAATGAAAATATTGTGTTGCAATATCCATAAATAATATGTCATTCATGATGGATGGACAAGTGGGTGACATGATTAATAACCAGTGCAGATGGCTAGGGTGTGATTTATACATTGGATGTTAAAAGTTATATGGCAAATGCCAGGTCACCTGTCATAACTCTAGCATGCATGTGCATATTTGTTTTTAAATTTTTGGTATTCTAGATCTACTTTCCTTCAATATTTCTCTATGGGCAAGATTAGTGATCAATTTTGTCACATTGTGGTAAACAGTTTCTTTTCGTTTCGATAATTCTCCTTTTTCTTTTCTTAAACAGATAAATCTGATTTTGAAGAGGAGACCATACATTTCAGAGAAATCATTTAATATACACGTAGACATATGACGAATTGATGACACTATGTCCATTGCATCATGTTTGAAATGACATCGGTATGTTTTATGTGATTAGCTTCTACCAATTGAAGTACCGGCGTCTGAAATTATTTTGCCTCTTCACCTAAATAAAGTTTTAAACTTATGATAAACTGTTTCTGTTGCAACTGACAGATTGTTTAGGCAATTCTTCCAAAAATTGTTGTGTTTACCTCGAAATAATCGATACAACCGCATATTCGTTAAATTGTTTTGATTCTGAAATGTGCTGGAGGTCACGTTTCACCAACGAGGAAACCCCTTGAAGAGGGAATCCCCGCCTCGTTTCGAATATAGTTGCGCCACGTATACTTTAAGCACTGCCTCTTTTATTAATGCGCGTTTTATTTTTACCAACATATGATACAAAATAACACGTATTGGCAGTGATAGATATTAAAGAAAGTGATAAACTTAGGAATTACCTTGTTGTATACTTTTATATAAGTTCAAGACAGGATAACTAGCGACCTACATCGCTGTCATTTTCGTAAGGATTTCCTTTAGGTGTTGTTCGGCTCTCTCAAAACATTGATAAACCGGTATTCTTGCGTAAATATGTGACGAGAACATGACTTATCAACGCAGGAAAGGGATCTGCATTTTTTTGCAGTATGTTGTGTTTATCTTAACAGCTAGTTTATCTATTCAAACAAACCCTGAAAAGCAAAATGATTCAAACGCCTGTTTTTGCAAGGTAAGAATTCATGTTACTGTTTATTTACCTGTGCTATTTCTGCTTATGCTTGAATCATATTTCGCTAGTTACGCTACGTCGGTGAATTGCAACCAAACATAAAAAATGGACCAGTGAATCACTCTTTTTCAAAAAAAAGTATCTACAGAAATGACCGAAATGTGTATTTTTAAAAGTCATTTTTATTCAATCAGCTGTAATCGAAATATCCCACAGGAAACGCCATCGTAATCATTTTAGTTTTGTTTCTGGTTTCATATGTGACAAATTGACATGGATTACATAGTAAGATTTTATGTGTTTTAAGATCATACACTGTAATAATTATTATAGCTTAACTGCAAAGTATCAATACTGAGTATACATAATACATGTAGTGAAAAATAGACTGAGGAAATTTACACACCACAGATATAATCTGTATCTTATTGTAACTGTCATCTTTTCAGAGATTGATGCAATAGAAATTATACACTAAGCCCAACTCTTTAGGGCATTCACTGTTGACAGCTCCTTAGTATACATACATGTACATGTATATGTATAAGGAGCGTGTGGTTGTGGCTTGTACTTAGTGTTGAGTACAGGTTCCGTATATGAGCTGACAGAGCATGCTTCATTGCCTGGGAGACCCAGGTTCCATTCTTGTTAGTGCACAGGAATGTGTTTTTACCTGTTCTATTACATTGGTGCACAACAAAATTCCAGAGAGTTGTTGTGATATTTATAGTGTCTAGTAGAAAAAACAGGGAGATCCCCCAGAAAGTAATGTAGATGGAAAGGGTCATGGTTTGTGCCCTAGAGTAAAAGGGTCTCTGTCACTCAACTTATGTATAGAACATACTTCTTTTGCTCAGCTGGTAGAGCCTTGGATTGTCACTCTAGAGACATATATATATATATGTACATGTATAAACTTAGAACAGGCATTAAATATTTATTGTTTATGGTTCCATGCACACACTGCATAACATAATTATCATCAAACTACAAGATGTGAACTGGGTAGGAGAGAGGGAGGTAATTATGAAATCTAAATTTTAAAATTATGGAGTAGCATCATGAATATTAACGCCTTCAGCCTTGGATTCAATTCGGTATACATAATACATATGGCTTTTTAGGCTGTGCTGCTATATGCTAGGTCAGTTTAGTTTTTAAAATGATAATGATATTGCAATGAAAACTAGGTCATACAAACTACAATTTTACAATAGATTTTTTGAAAATATTAATTACATTTGTTTTTTGTTGTTATTGTTTTTAAAACTGATATGATATTGTTGAATTTTGACTTTAAATCACAGTTTTTGTCATATATGATAATAGCAGTATTATCTTATGTTAAGCTGAATGGTGAAGTGGACGACTGCACTTGTAAGGTAGAAAACCTGGACACTTTGAACAATGAGAAGATATTTCCAGTCCTCCAAAGCTTACTACAGAAAGATTACTTTAGATACTTCAAGGTAAGTCCATTTAAATACCAGACTAATATTTGTTTTCAGGAAGCAATTGGAAAGTAATAACTCATGTTGACCTGAAAGAACATTTATTCCTAATGTGAGCTTCATTCATTAACTCACAATATTAAATTCATACCCATATTTTATTTTATCCAATATAAAGCACATTTGTTCATTTGAAATTAAATCAAACATTTGCAAGATCATTTAATTCCTGAGAATATAATATAATTCTATGACTGTGAAATGATGATCTTTATGTGATATGATAATTCATGAGGGTGATATGATAATCCATGAGGGTGATATGATAATCCATGAGGGTGATATGATAATCCATGAGGGTGATATGATAATTCATGAGGGTGATATGATAATCCATGAGGGTGATATGATAATTCATGAGGGTGATATGATAATCCATGAGGGTGATATGATAATTCATGAGGGTGATATGATAATCCATGAGGGTGATATGATAAATCCATGAGGGTGATATGATGGTCTTTATGTGGTATGATAATTCATGAGGGTGATATGATGTAATATTAGGATGATCGTTTGGCGTAAATATGATTTACCGGTAATGTACAGTAATATATGATGATGACCTTCTGAGGGTGATTTGATACCTTTGTGATATATATCTTATTATTAAATGTTAAAGTGATATGATGATAAATTAAGGGAAATATAGGGGACAATAGTGCATCAGAATTTGCAACACCAGGTGAAAATCAGAGGATGTGTTGTTAATCCATACTCAGTTCTGTGTGTTTCTTGGGGAAACTGAAAATACAGATCATTCTGTACTGTTGAAGTTTTGTCATGGTTGGAGACACTTGACCTCAATTACTGTGAATGATATGCAATGGGCCTCCATAATGATGTTCATTGAGGTATTCTCCAGCTGGTACAAGGATACTCCACCTAAAAATCACCCTGGCTTTCCTTGGGGCAATAAACCTGACAAACAAACGTTAAGTGAAACACATTGATATCATGAAGATCTTATGATGAATATTTTAGTGTACTGAGTTTATTGTGTTAAATCTTTTAACATTGATCTTTTGAGGGAGATGAAATGTGAGTGATATAATGGTTTCAGTAGCCATTTTATAAATTTATTAAGTATGTCTGTAGATATCAGATACTCTCCAGTTACATGTTTTTTTTATATTATATTGGTAATGGGACATTCAGGATATAAGATTAATTTGATCTAGATTTTCAATATAGAACATATTAGATTCAAGACATAGTGTATACTCAACTCTTAAATGTTTGTATCTAGCTATTGTATTGATGAATTTTGATTCATGGGTTAATAAAACAGTTTTCAATTTAAAGAATTTATGGCCTTATGTATAAATGAATTAGTTATGGGTCCGGAAACCGGTACAGGTATCTAAGATTTTTACAGTTAAAAAATGAGTGACAGCTGCAGGTTTTATAAAAATTGTGTGTAACAACTTACCATACTTTCCATACTCTATTTTGTTAAATGCGTTCTACCATAAAATTGTCATCGGTCAGCATGAATAAATAAAAAGGTTCTTTATTTTCATGTTAAATATTTTCTCTATAGCTATTTAGCCCTGCTATGAACTTTATTACATGTCATTACTTCTGGGCGTAACCATATCAACTCTAGTTTATTTTTTATAATGGGCATAAATAATGTTCTTTAAATGAACTTAGAAAATAGATGTTTCTAGATTCAAGATATTTTTGAACAAAGACTCATTATTTGATGTAGTGAATAGGTTTAATGTGGTTTGGATTATGTAAATAGAGAAGTGTTCAATTATATGACTTGCTGGTGACAGGTATAATGGATACAATAGCTAAAAGTTGCATCATCCAATAAACAAATGAATTAGTAAGAGGTCCAAAAAGGGGCATCTCAGAGAGTGACACCTGGTCATGTGTACATAAAGGGAGTAATGAAAAGTTCACATCCCCTGCAAGGGTTTTAACTGATGGCCCTTTAGTCTCTAACCAGGCACTCTACCACTTGATTAAAGGTGATTTCCCACACTAGCCGAGTAGCTTTCTACTTTTATACAATGTTATGCATATGTGTCTAATACATACACAAGACTAGGGAAAGATAATGGTCATGTTAAACTGCCAGATTTTGCAACTGGAAATATGAAGCTACTTGAATAAGCATGACTACCTGATATTAAAAGGATAAGGGCGGAACACCTGAACAGTATGAATTACAGGGTACAATGGATATGTTTTCCATTGACATCCAGTAAATTTAGATAATTACACCATTCCTCATCTTGGAGCTGTTTTTCGGAGAGATTTATAAAAAGTATAAGGTTTGATGCATTGAAATATAAACATTCAAGACACACAAAATTAGTGTTGTCTCTGTATTCTACATGTAACAAGGCACTCGTCATATTGCATATGACAAAGAATTTGTCTGGATTGTCAGACAACTTAAAAAGTTTTGTATCTATGTAAGAGATTTTATGTGAATGCAAATTGTGGTATCATCTAGTCCACTGACGTTGCCAAAATTATATAATCAAGGTGTCTATATATACATGATGTTTGTGCTTAAATATTCAACAGTTGCATATACATGCTGTATTACAGTTTCTTTCTCACTTTGTAATTCGGTCAGTTCCAGTTACGTAAATTCACAAAATTGAGAAAAATAATGTTCAGCATTCTTTACTTTAGTTACTGAGTGACATAAAAATCAAATACACATTTTGTTTTCATTACATCAAAAATTGTGCTTTATCAGCATCAATTATCAGCATTATAACCTGTTAAGATTTTTTGCTGATCAGAGTCATCAAACGTATCTCAGGATGGGGCAGTAATTTTACTCAGGTGCCCACTTTATCCTTTGATTACAGAAGTGATTTCCATTTATCATCCCCTCCCCTACCACCACCCAGTGAAACATTGGAGAGTTGTTATTTCATGAACCCTACAACAGACTTGTTGCATATTCATACCAATAGCTTCTCAATGTGTGTAATTCTAAACTTTATGAGAGTTTGGTGGTCATTTGTCAAGATTAGATGGTCAAAGGTCACATTTGGTAACTTAGCACCAAATATAAACAGCTCAACAGAAGTAGCTCATAAATAATAATGATGATGATTATTAGCTTATTCACATGATTTCCACTTGATTCCGACATGCCTTAGGGAGAAATAGTAACTATACACATGTTCATAGCCCTCTTTCACTGTGAAAACTCGTATTTAGGTCTTAAATCATTGTGTTAGATTGAAGTAGCCATGGGCTGAGACCTGCAACAGGTGAAGTCAATCAGCACACATTGACAGCTGTGTGGTGATCATGTTATGTAGCTAATCAAGTCCATGATATCTGGGCCATCACTGCTGTTTATGTTTAAGTTTAAATGTGGTCATACAACAGTGAAATATCAAAATTATTTAAAGTGACATTATGGTAAAAGGATTACTTTATTCTCACTGATTTTATAGGTCAGATGGTCAAGATGACCATCGTGTTTCATCTGCCGTGAGTAAACTTTCCATTCAAATGACTTCTTCTCAACAACCAAAAGGCCCAGGTTGCTGATATTGGACTTGTAGCATGATGGGATTAAGGGCTACCAAGTGTTTTTATATGAATGACCTTGGCTCACTTTCAAGGTCACAGGGGTGAAATATGTTAAAATCTTTAAACAATGTCTTCTCAATAAGTAAAATGCCCAGGATGTTGATATTAGGCCTGTGGCATGCTAGGATGTAGGGCTAACAAGTTTGTTTATATAAATGACCTTGACATGCTTTCAGGGTCACAAGTGTCAAATTTGTCAAAATCTTTAAACAACTTCTTCTCAATGAAAAAGGTCCAGGCTGTTGATATTAGTTCTTTGATATAAGTGGATGAAGGGCTACCATATTGTTCAAATAATTGACCTTGACCTATATTCAAGATATCTCAGTTTAAGTGAGTAGAGATCTTGAAATTTCTTTTTCAACTAGCAGTAGGTTAAGAGTAATGGTATTTGTGTAGTAGCATTTATTAAGAATAAGATTTCATGTTTGGAGAAAATGTTTTTATGAATCAATATTATCTTCTTTGTTAGAGTAGTTGAGCAACTCATTTTACACCTATTTGGCCTCTCATATATAGGTCTTTATAGTCAGATGACTGTTAATACCATGGGCCCCTTGTTTATTATTGCAAATATCTATCAAGTGTATTGCTTTGTCAACATTGACGTTTGGTTTTGCTGAAAAATGCACATAAAGAAGTTAATCAATAATTACAAAAAAGGAAATCCTTATCTGTTGATCACCAGTCTGGACATGTCAAGTTTTGTGTCATATATGATAACACATGTGCACAAAACACTGTTGCCTGTAAAGAAAAATGGCTTTCACCCTGAATTGATTGGTGAATAATGTTACTTAAATTTTGTATTTGGTAATTCTGAATTAGCTTATAGTCACAAAATAATATATGAACACCCATAACAAAATCCGGCGGTGAAAAACAGGATTTTACTGACTGTGTCACTACTGTCGCTGTCATTTCTGCCCGCCATCATATGTTCACATATATAAAATGAGCTGCCTTGCATGATGTTATCAGCACTAAATTTAACAGGGGTTTACCACACCAAAGAAGTGGTCAAACTGGATACTAGAAATGACTGAATATTCAGACAGCATAGAAATGTAACTAGAAGTGTATAAAACACACTCAATCTAAAACAAAGTTTTTTCCATGATGTCCATTCATGAAACATGAAATTTTTAAGTAAGTGGAATCATTCGTTGTTTAAAGAGCATATCTATATAAGACAGAGGGTTGTACAATTATTATTGCTCTTGTTTTTTAGCAGTTTATTTTTGTATGGAGATCTACTTCCTCGGTTTTTCACAAATTTCTCTGAAACTTGGTAGGCTTTTTAACCATTACATGAAATGATATTTTTCTTGATGACATGGAGATTTTATAATTTCGGGAAGAACTATTGGCCTTTTTTTTAACAGTTTAATCTTGTTCAAATATATCCTCCTTCAGATTGTCCAGAGATTTTTTTACGTCTCCATCAATTCTTTTAAAACTTGATATGCTTCAATTTATCCTTAAGGCATTGCACTGTTTTCCCTCCAACCATTTTGGATCATGATTTTTCTCTTTTACATGTGACAAGTGTATATTGTTCTGCCCTGGGTACTCTTTTTTGTAAGAGATGGCAGTGTATCTGCTTCATAATTTTATAGCACTCTTAGGCTGCAGAAACTAGGGACAATTAAGGGAAAATATCAAACTCTTTGACTCAATGCTTTTGCAAAACATTACATTTAGATCTTTCCTAAGAAAACATATTAATTGCTGAACAATAAGCCACATCAGCACTTTTTAAGTAGCTCAGATGGGTCGGTATTTACAGAATATTTGATATAGAGTTCAACATGATCAATATCACTGACATTTACATGGTACATTACATGGAACGACAATGTCATCCATCACATTTGTTTTTAAAAGGAAAATAAATTCCTAGATTCAGTGATCTATATACCCAGGAGATTTAATTATATCTACCTTCAGAATCTACAGATACGATTGATGTCAGGATTACTGTGCATCCTTCCTGCTGATGATGTCAGTTCTATCATACTGCCAGTCATGTGCTTTATTTAGAATATATCAGAGATCTATATTCTCCTGTGGGGTATATATAATTTCAAGGATATGTCATATCTCTGTTAATGACAAGGGTTCTGGTTTATTCAGCAGTAGTAAAGTGGTCAAATTTTATTAGCTATCATACTCAAGATATACGAAGTGCCCATAAGTCTTACCACAGAGATAAGATCATATGTTTTATTCTAACAGACACCTTTCACATAAAAAGCATCTGTTGTACCAGGAACCACAAAAAGTTTCTGTATGTATTTCTTTAAATGCAAAAAAAAAAGAACAAAAATCCTGTTTTTCCATGAAATCTAACTCTTTCAGGTTGTTTTCACTATAAAAGATGCATATGATAAATGTTCAACTTTGATTCTCATTTAAAATTATTTATATATTTTTTAGTAAGTTAATTTTCAGGTTTTGTTTTCATTCCTAGGTAAATCTGAAGAAACAATGTCCGTTCTGGACTGATGACAGCCGTTGTGCAATGAAGGACTGTAGTGTATCGACCTGTGAGGAGGTAAGATCTCGTTTTCTCACCTTGCCTCCTCATTCTTCCACACCAATGAATATGCCTGATGACTAAGTATTATGTTACTACCTGTGCTAAAGTCTGGTCTGTGGTTAATGTTGTACAGAGTTAAGACCCTTGGTTTATTTTTTATAGAATCTTTCACAAATTGTAATAATAATAATAATAATAATAATAGACTTATTTCATGAGGATTTAAGAACCTGTTTAGGCGAGACTAATCTTCCACAGGGTAAAACATGGTATATGTCAAAATACAGGATTGTTCACAACATAATCATAAGATTTTCATACATTTATCACAGATACATAATTAAGAATATCACAGAATGCACAAAAGTTTGAGCAAGTAGGTTTATCAATAAATCACAATTTGTCTATTATACATACCACATCATGTAATTTAAGCAAAAAATGTAAAAATTGACATAGTTATATGCTAATATATGTAGTAATGATCTACATATGATCATGAAGTCACAAGTGTTTTTTACCTACCACAGGACCAAATACCTGAAGGACTGAAGATTGGTGCTGATAAAGTAAGTTTTGTATTTCTTCAAAAAACAAGGCAAATGAGCTAATTTGATCTAAAATTGATTAGAACTAATATAGAGTAATTTATATAGAAATGAAAATGCACGATCAATTCTTGGTATCAGTTTGGTTTTGAAACTGGCTTCATACTTTAGTTGTTTCCAAAGTGTGTTTTATTTTGTCAAAATTAATTTTGTATTGCTCTTTCATTCCTTATCAGTTATTCATCCATATTTTATAATCCTCTGATAGGGAGTAAACAAAATCTCCAACACTACAGATGTTGGCGACATTTTTTTTCTTTACAAATCTTTCTTGGAGAATGAATACCATTAGCCTGTTCATTTCTATGTAGTTATGTAGATGTGGAGGTGTGAACGGTGCAGATTATTTGTTATAAAAAGGTACAAAAGACCATGACGGACGATAATGATTTGTTTGTAACATATGTGTGTATTAAGTATTAATGATATATAAAGTTGATACACTAAGCTGTATTACACTTACAGCTGTAGCGTCCAAGCACAACAATGAAGCTTTATGCTACAGTGTGCTGTGAAATTTTTGTGTGTAGAATGTGAAAGTCAACAAACTAATTTATTTCATGTATGTAGGTATTTTTTATTTGTCTTAGATTTTTTATAGACGGGGATTTGCTTTCTTCTGTCGAGGTTTAAAAGTACTTCTACACGGAATATAGAAATCAATATGTAGATTAGAAACATGGTTTTTACTGTATGATATAAGCATACCTATGCAGTGGTGTATAGATACAAGTCTTTCATACACAGTAGGTAGGTATGGCATCACCAAATCAATTAACTACCACAACTTTATATTGTAATGACTTTCAACTTAGGGAATGTATGATATAAACATTGGTTAGCCTTAAACTATACATGCTTAGATAACAGCATTAAACCTAGAAACTTAATTTCTGTAGGAGACTTGCATGGAAACTCTTGCCATTTTTTCTCTGTAGTAAGCCGAGAAGTCAAACACATGAATTCTTCCTTATTAACTCAGGAGGTTGGTTTATGACAGGACCAAAAATAGCATTAGGTTTTTATCTACAATTTACAAAACATGTGTTTTTGTTTTTAAATACATGTTCATTGTAAGTATTGTTTGTCCTTTGTTCACAGTACACTGCTGAGGCCCAAGATGAACACACTTGTGACGAAGAAAGAGAGTTAGGGGCCTTGAATTCAACTATCAGGTATGATACCACAAAATTAAAGAACAAATCCCCTCACAACCCACATGCTCCTCCACCCTCAAAATAGAACATTTTCTACAGCACATTGAAAACTCAAAACCAAGAAATTAAAATATGATCACCATGACCAGATCAGCTGATTGCTTTACAGGGTATTCCTTAAACATTTCATCAAGTTTTACTGAAGTTTTTTCTAGTTTGAAGTTGTTAATGTGTTCAATCCCAGTATTACCAGATAAGTTTCGGAAATAGCTAATCTGTGCAATTTTAACCAATTTTCAGAAGTCATTGTACCTGTAATTGTACAATAACTTTCTGACTGTGATATTTACAACATACAGGTGTATAGATACATCCAATGGTGTACAACTGAAATCAGAATTAAATTAAAAATTTGGATTCTTTTGGTGATGTTCTGTGTGAGAAAACTTCAATATTTGGTAGATTATGAGATGTAGCAAAAAAATCAAAGATTTTTTTTAAAATTCATTTCTTGTTTCATAAAAGCTCAGCGGTATTTGATATATATAAAGCAGTTTTTGACTGATTTGGATATTTTAGTCAAAGAATGGAAGAGGAAACATTCAATAACATTCCTTTTTTGTGTTACAAATTCTAATAGAAATGCCTTTCCTTTGACATAAGTTTATTGTACCTGTATATTTCAGTGCAGAGAGTAAAGCTGCATTCCAGAACTGGACTAAACATGACGACAAACTGCAGACATTTTGTGAACTGGATGGTATGATCAAGAAAAATTTAGTCACAGAAAATAGATAATTCCATATATAGATTCCACATAAAAAACCCAATATGTTCTCCAAGGGCATTATGAACTTGTACATTTGGTCTCTGTAGACAGGTTCAAGTATAAAAATCTTGTCTCTATTAGATTTTAACTGTAGAACTCTGGTCTCTGATGACAGGTTTAACTTTACAAACTGGTCTCTGCAGACAGATTTGGTCTCTGTAGACAGGTTTATCATTAGCTATAAAAATCTTGTCTCTATTAGATTTTAACTGTAGAACTCTGGTCTCTGATGACAGGTTTAACTTTACAAACTGGTCTCTGCAGACAGATTTGGTCTCTGTAGACAGGTTTATCATTAGCTAAAAAAATCTTGTCTCTGTTAGATTTTAACTGTAGAAATCTTGTATCAATAGACAAGTTCAATTTTATAAATGTGGTCATCATAACCAAGTTTAAGTTAATTGTGCCAAGCTTGTCCCTTGTAGATGATAAATCTGCTGATATGGAATATGTTGACCTCCTGTTGAACCCAGAGCGTTACACTGGCTACAAGGGAGTGAGTCCTCACAGGATCTGGAGGAGCATTTACGAGGAAAACTGCTTCAAGTAAGTTCAGTTTACATTAATCAACACGATTCTGACTTGGATCGTTAGATAGCTTTATTTTAGAGGAGAATTCCATGAAGTGCTGTCCTTCGGAGACATTTTTAGGGGTTACTATAGCAACATAAATGCTTAATGACTGTATAACCTTAGAAACTGTTGCTGACCATCACATAAAAGATTTCCACACTAACTCTCATAATATCATGCAAGGATTACAACAGTGCTAGAGTCACCACATTGGTAGTGAAAACCAAATGTCTATATTCATAAAGGGCAAGGATTTTAATTCTTAAAGACATTCTATCAACAGATATATGATTCTATAAAAATCAATTTATTCATATCAAAAGTAAGAAAGAATTTTTTTTATTGTTTTAAGTCTTTATTTTTGTTCAGAAATCTATAAGAAACTTTTTATAACATGATGGAGCAAAGTAGCTTATTTTGCAGGAAACTTTAATTTGCTTTAATTGTTTTCATTTGATATATTTTTTGTCATGAAAATATCAATGTTAAATGGAAAACTGTTTTACTTATTGTCCTTATCTAGACATTGTACCACAGTATCAGAAATATTTATGATTATCAATTTGTTGTTTTTAGGCCCGATGGAAAATTTCGATATGGTTCTCAACAGTCTTTGGCTGGTAAGTTACTTCCTGTCTGGGTTAGGTATGTGTTCTATTACTAGACTTCTATGTGTTGTGTACTGTTGAATATGTACATTTTGTGTTCTCAAACTCTAACACTTTGATTGGCTACCACTATATACCTGGTAATGCAATTATTGTCACTAATATATTAAAATACAATGAAATACTCAGTCTAATACAATGTATTTTTAATTTTCACATCTAACAAAGTAGAATATATCTACTAATAGTGAAATTGTAGAGACGCCTATGAAATCTTGCAAAATATTACTGGTAGTTTTCAGGTTTTATTTCTCTTCGGTTAATGATTAGAAGAACTACAAAACAGGGAATAAATATTATGTAAATGATATTTGAAGTATCAAGTATCAGAAGACATAAATTCCCTATTGATAGACTATATAATTGATATATACTTAATATTGTAATGGATTGCCTATGAGGTAATCATATCTAGTCTGTATTTTCAATGACAAATTCAGCAACCTGTCAATTTCCTTAGATTATTGAACAGTGGAATACTGGTACATGATGCTTGTTTGTACATGAATCTGATATGTCAAGAAATCTTTGATATTAATAAAAAGTTTTGTTGTTCCTGAAAACCAGCTTACTTTAAAGGTAAATGATATACGCAGACTGTTTTATTTTCTGGAAGGCCATAGAAAAAACTATAAGGACAAAGTGTTTCTATAGTAACCGTTCCCTTTAGATATGGATGTTTGTTTAAATTTGCTTCCTCTCATTTTTTCGTTGCGAAAAAGTTTTGTGCACACTTCTATGATATAACTACATAATGTAGTCACCTGATAATGGTATCCTCTTTTTATTGCCAAAGTAAACTCTATCTACGTTGACCCATGATATAGGTAGAAAAACTGCAGTGGCTAATCTTGTTTTAAGTACTATTCTAAAATTTTCAGATATGTTATTCGGAATTTTGTTGTCTTGTGTGTTAAGTTAATTACAAATGATACCTACAAAAGCTGTAAGGTATTTTTTTATTTGATTATTATGAGAAAAACAACAATAGTTTTTCTGAGAGAAAAAAGAAAATGTGTGTTAAAAGGATTAAATTCATTTGATTATGAGTATGAAACAAGTTTTAAGCATTTATCGATCACTCTTGTTGGCCCAGATAGAAGTGTGAGGGGTCTTATTGTGGGGGGTAACTGGACCACTCGGGGAAAATCCATGTGGTTGGGCAGGTGACTCCATACCTTTTAACATCTCTTCTGGAAATTGAACTCTGGACACCCAGGTGAAAGGCAGATGTGTGAACATAGTGCGCTCCAACTGCCCTTTTTCTGTTTGATATACAGAAAGTTGTACTTGTGCCATATATACCCCTGTAGATATATGTATTGTAAACAGGATATTGATATATATTTTTACATGATGTCTTGATGTTTACAGATAAGATACTTGTACACAGCAGTTTATCTACCTATACACTTAGTGTGTTCTGTAGATCTGTATTTCTCAATCTACTTTATTTTACACGTTCCATAGCTCTAGTGATGACAGGACAGTCTGGTAAACATTCTGTGGTGTAGACCCTGGCTCCATAAACTTATCAAATGTTTTATTATATTGCTGATTTATAATGGAGAAAATGGATGAAAGACAAATTTGAACTATTGATTAAAGTATTTTAAAGTAATTATAAATTTAAGGATGTATTCTTCTGACATTTGACTGGAAGTAAGACATGAAATATCTTTGACTTTTGTGTTCTTGTCACTTTGTTAGCAATAGTTGTACTTATAAACTCAAAGGGGCAATTTTCATAATGCTTTGAAGTATTTTTGCCTGTAGACTGATTTTTTTTATGCCATAGTTGACAGTGTGATTTCGTTAATAGTGTCAACAATTTCAACATTTTCCAGTTGCTAAGGTATTTCTCTGGAGCAGGACTCTGGAAGTCTTGGGTAGATTTCAACTAAATTTAGCATGAATTATCACCACAAATCACTGATTTCAAATTTGTGAATTCTGACTTGTTTAACTACTTTCCTGGATTTTGAGGACCCAAAAACAAATATTTCAGCTTGTTTCTTGATCTTTGAAAAACTAGCTATTTTGGTGAAAACTGCAAAAATTATAGCACAGAGACCCCCCTCTCTCTTAAGCATGAAAAGTATCCTTGAAAATTTTGTCATTTAGATCATTTTGAAAAACCTATTTTTTTTAACTTCTCAGAAGAATACAACCTTAAAGAATTTCATTTCTAAATTTTTTTTTTTTTAATTTATCGTTCTTTCATTTCAAAATACAATTTAAGAGATAAAGTTGATCTGAGTTAAAATTAAATTTAAGTCAATACCGTATTTATTTTTCAAAATTTAACACTGCACATATATTGGTTTTCAGTGCTGAAAGTAATTGTTTAATTTTATTATTTCAAACTTCATATGCTGTTAAGATTTTGACCATTTAAAGATGTTTCAGATTTGTGATTTGATCCATCATAGGTATATTCCATAACTGCTTGTTTTTAAGAAATGATGGTTTGCTTATATACCTGTATAGTTGCTTAACTTTTGGATGAGCCAAGTAGTGTGGTTTAGAAAATTATTTTTAAAATATCAGCTTTGTTGCTTTTTAAATATTGAGAGCTGTTTCATAATATATAACCATACCTTATACTTTTAATGTTTATTAGATATTTTTTTCAGTTTTGTAACTCTCCTGGCCTGAAGGGCACAAAATATATCACTATTTCTAACCTTAAGAATCACAAAAGTTATTTATGATGTGTTGTAACTTTCTTTTTCGTTTTTTAATTTTACAAGTTTTAATTAATTTAAATATTTTTTATGATTTTTCCCAATTATACATCAGCAAGCGAGTTAGAAGGTAACAACAATAGAAATTGTCACACAAGTCCTGTCTGTGTTCTCATCCTGTTGTCTCTTTCAGCTGTTATCTCATCACAGTAGTCACCATGTATCTTCCTTTTTAATTCATTCATTTGTACAGATGAAAAATTATTTGAGGAACCACTGGTATCAAGTTTGATATCTTATGATAAGATCAAAGTTTCAAAGTTCATTTTATGTAAATATTTCTGAAAAAAGTAGTAATTTTTACATGGGATTGGTTTATGATTTTAAATCTATACTTTCAGAGGCTGATTATGAAAAAAGTTTCTAATAAAAAATTTAGCCCCTCTGATAAACTGTATGTTCTAGCATATCGATAGCATTTGAACCTTAACCTCTGCTGAGATATTTGAACCCTATAGCACTGCCAGCATCTTGAGTCTTTAAATAACTATTCAGTAGTTGTATAGAATATGGCTGTCCTTGGACCACAATACTGGAAACTATATCAAATTCTCGAATATAGAAAGAGCAGTATGGACGATGTCTGTGTGGAAGTCATCAGTGTTGTTAAAATATAACATTTAGTAGAAGATTTGATGATATCATGCATTATTAAGCTTGGTATGACTGGTTCCAAATGAAATCTTTTCCAGTCATCTTTGTGGGAAGTTTTCTACTGAAGGTTTTATATGATGTGGGGCATGTGGACAAATACATTGGGTCACTAATTAGAACCTGTATTAAGGAACCATCAAAACTAGGAAATATTGTCTCATTGTATTTTTTATCTTTTAATTAAAACACTTTCAATCAGTATATTTATCCCTGCTGTCAATGTGTTTCCCCCTACCAAATATATATATTATGGAATTTACAATTTCTTTATTTGAATCAATTGAAATACATTTTGTATTTCAAAACATTTAACATAGAACGTCGTAATCAATCTTTATTGTCTATAAGCAGTACACAACACATGTTGTTGTATTTAATCCTCATATCCCTTGTTGAAAGTTTCAGTAATTCTTTCCTATCTTCAGTAAAATCCTTAATTCCCTAGAGGTGGTTTCTCAAGACAGGTTCTACTACAATCAGGTGAAAAAAGTATATCTGTGTGGCCTTTATACAGAGGTTCACCAAAGTCTCATGTGAAGATGGAGACAATTACAGATGAGAGATGCTACAGTACACATTTCCTGTGGAGTGATTTTTTTTTCTCTCTTCCTCACTTTTTACCTGATAAGCCTAATTAACTGATGGCTTGGTGCCAGATTGGAATATCATTGATTCATCAGTTGGTTAATTTATCATATTTTCAATATTCATTCTTTAAAGACTGCTGTGAAAAAACATGATAAGATTTTGTCTAGAATTATTCAATGACCTCATACCTGGTAAAGACAAATAGGTTCTGATTTTATTTTAAAAAATAGGTCAGGTCTATATTTAGTCTCTTTTAGGAGCCTTAGAGGCTAAAGAAAGGCCATTGGTATAATGTACTACAAAAAAAAAAAAAAACCCAAAAAACAAGACATAAATTTTGAAATTTCATATATTAAGCATAGTCAAGAGATTTTGATGCTGATAAGAATGTGTAAAACATATCAGAAGACTGATTGCGGGTTAGAACACCTACATATACAACTCTCTATGGGGAAGGACTGTTATACCTGTTATTGTGAAAAATCTCCTCATGTTGTGCATGTGAACATTGTGATAGTGATGTTTGTTTTCATTAAATTTTGATATGTCTGCTCAGACCATCATTAACGAAATAGAATAAGTCGTTGTATAAAGATCCAGCTTATAATGTTCTAAAAAAGATCATACAAAGATGGTTGTCAAGATACCTCTAAGATCTCTTGTTAAATGTTTTTGTATAAATGTTTTTTAATTGTTAACATTTCTTTCTAAACCTGTGTATACTATATATGTTTGTGAAAATTGTGACTGAGATATAGAAACAATGTGACAAAACCTATTGATGAAATGTACTGTTTTACAGAGATGTGCCTTGAAAAGCGAGCATTCTACCGTCTCATTTCTGGCCTCCATACCAGTATAAACCTTCATCTGTGTGCCAAGTATCTCTTCCCAGGTAAAGTTGTCTCCCTTGAGTTATCTAATTGTGATTAATGACCAAAGCCACGATTTAAACTTTGTTGTAGAAATATGGCTCATTTCCTACATTGGGACTACAGGAGTTTACTTTGAGGAATATTTGTTCCCAGATCAGATGAGAATTTACCTCAGTTTTAGTTGCCACATCATCCTCACAAGTAAAATGTTTGAATAAATCTCCTCCAACCTACTTCCTATAGTACAATGTAGAGCACAAAAGAAATGCTTGCGGATTTTAAAATGGCACCTGATAATACAATAATGATAACATGTGATTAAGGAATGTAATAAATATCTGAAGTTAGATAAATCAGGTGTCAGATAAGTCCTGTGTCAAAAAAGTCATGTGTCAAAAAAGTCAGGGGTCTGGAAAGCCAGGAGTCAGATAATTTAGATGTCAGATAAGTCATGTGTCAGAAAAGTTGGAAGTTAATTAACAGTTCCACTCAGGTGTAAATTTCTTTAACAGAAAAAAAAGAAACTTTTTTGCCAAAGACTGTTGTACAATTGTGTTTTATGAAACCTACATTTTATATTTGTTTGTGTAAAAGAATATTGAGAGTTATGCATTCTATTACATGTTTTTACCAATTTCAGCTACTCTGTATAGTGCTCCCTCCTGGGGCCCCAACCTTAAGGAATTCACCAGAAGGTTTGACCCTGATGCTACCAAAGGTCGTGGACCACAATACCTGAAAAACCTTTACTTTACCTACCTAGTGGAGTTGAGAGCTATTGCAAAGGCAGCACCATATTTTGAACAGGTCTGTTGGTTGATTACCCTGGTAGTTGTGACTTCTTGTCTGTTTGTCTTTCTGTCTTTCCATATGTTATTTTCTGACTTATTACAAATAGCTTCAGTTGTGATCGAAGGGGATAGATCATTTCCTCTGATTAGGGACCATCAGTTGATGGGAAAATGAGGCTTTGCAGAAAATAAAATTCTTTATACTGTGTAACTTTGTATAAACCTAGCTTGTTTACTATTTTATTAAAAACACATTTAGTCAGATAGTGAAGTTGTTAGAACCTATCAGAACCGAGAAAATTATCTTCATACAATAACATCTTTGTAACCAAACAGGAGGAATTTTTCACTGGTGATGCAGAAGGTGACGAGGATGTGAAGAAAGGAATCAAACAATTCATCAAAATTGTGAAGTAAGATTAAAAAAAAATAATTAAGGGTCTCAAGTTTGTTGTGATATGCACTCATTAAAACCCAATGTCTGTGCACAGCTTTAGAAAATAATGTGGGTACTCATTTTGAAAATCAAATGTCAAAATCACTGGGCAATATTTCATACAATGAAATTTTTTTTTAATGGGAAGGTAATTTTCAGGATTTCTTTGACAGATATATTAACACCATTTACTTCATTGTGACAAATATCATTTCCAAAAAAGTGTCCTAGTAATTTATAATTTACAAGCATAATAACAGTTAATATATATCTGGCTATGTAATATGGGACCTAGTGTGTATTAAAGTTAAATTAGAAAGTAGATTTTAACAATATAATTTAATACCTCTTAACTTGCATACAAAAACAAATCATTTTATACAATTGAACATATCTGATATAAAACCGTGTTTTGTTTCATTACAGGTCATTCCCAGACCAGTTTGATGAGAGTAAATTGTTTCAGGGAATACCAATGGAAGCTTCAAAACTCAAGGTGACACAGCCTTATTAACGAAACATTTCTATGTTTAATGTTGATTTGCTTGGATAATTGTTGAATTCTTCACCTATTCTTGAGTAATTCTTCTGTTCTTCTGTAATTGGTCATGGTTTGTTAGGGTGTAGGACTACCATGTTTATTCTAAAAAAATAATACTGACTTTCAGATATAGCCATAAAAAACTTCTTCTGAACAACTAAAATGTCAAGAGTATTGAAAATTAGTCATTATTTTCTCTGTGTAAATATGAATCAGCTTTGGTCAGATGAATGATCTTGATTTAGGAGAGATCAAATTTGTAAAATCCTGTAGACATGGTTCTTCATATGAACTTTGGGACCTTGGCCATTGGTGTTTGTCATTAGCATGAAATTCCAAATAGATAACCTCCCAGGACACAAATGTATCAGATGTGAAGAGTTGATTAAGATTTTCCATACTTTAAAATGAATTCTAATGCAACTAAATGATGGATTTATATCAGTAGATCAGCTGTAAATATTTCACACAACCAGCAGGTGACAACTTGCTGATTCCATGTGTTATTGTTTCAGGAGGAATTCCGAAACCATTTCCTCAACATTTCCAGGATCATGGACTGTGTAGGCTGTGACAAGTGTAAACTCTGGGGAAAAGTTCAGGTATGACATAGTAAAGATGAAAATATACAATTACTTACCTGTCCAGGTGAATTCAATGATTTATCAAACTAAGAATTTCAGAGGCTGAGGGAAATATCCATTACAAAGATTGTTAAATTATTGCATTCACCTCAAACCAGGTCAATAATTTTATGAAATTTCTCCAAGTGAACATTTTGAGAAAGAAATAAATTGAAAAAAAAAACAAAATGACAAGAGAGAGATAAGAACATTATAGATTTAGAATTATTTTTCTTTCAAAGTTTGCAAATATATTATGAGACATAAATGTGTACAACACCATTCCATTTGATTGATTTGAGGAAACATAGTCTAGTCATTTGATTTTCTTGTTTCTATGTTTGGGAACAAACTAATTTCATTGGATTGTTATATCAACCGGGAGCACTGTTTTGATATAATGTTGGGATGTCCCTTGTTACCACAGTTAGGTTGACGCTGGATGATAGGACATATCCAGTGATATGTAAATATACAACATGTATATTCTCTCTACAGATAGCCATGTGTTGTGTTTGATATTTCAGATACAAGGAATGGGGACAGCACTGAAAATTCTTTTTTCTGGAGATTCTATAGGACCTTTATCCACTGTAACTGCACTACAGAAACAAGATTTCCAACTTAGGAGAACTGAAATTGTCTCCCTTTTCAATGCATTTGGCAGGTAAATCATTTTTGGTCATAATTCAATATTTGAATTAATCACTCACATATTTATTACAATTTGAGATGTGTACAGGATGTTTGATTTTTACATGGTTTCTTTACAATATTATTATCTGAAAAATCCACAAGATCAAACTGACACTTAAACTGATTTGTTTTTTGAGTTTAAATGGAAGCTCAGTTTTCTGACAGCATTTTTAATTGAAGAACCTGTTAGAACTTGTCAGATTATCTAGTGGTAAAAAATAAAAGATTGACTGGTCTAAGGACTGGAATCTTGTATTTACTATGATATTTCAGATTATTTTTCTCAGTACTAATATGTAACTAATCCTGATGATAATACATGTAATGGTCTGGTCAACATTAATGGTCATAACCAAAGAAATGGTGTTACTTTGGTCTTAGAATATTGACATTTTTTATCTGTTAAATATTATATTATATATACATTATATGTATGTATTCCATTATGATGAAAAAAAACCTATTTGAAAAAGGGATTGGTTTATTGACTGGTGTGCAGTTAATTTTGGTTGGCTTTTACATAAGTGTTTCACTGAAATGACCTTCCTTTTATCTTTCAGACTTTCCAGCAGTATTAAAGAAATTGAGATGTTCAAAAGCATGCTGCAGTGATCCTTCTTTTTTAAAGTGACTGTATTTGTGTTTTAAAGCATTATTAAAGTAGTAACTCTAGTAAGACGCAATGTCATTTCCTTTTAAGGGAGATGAAGCACATATGATTGTCTTTTCAGTAAAGTTGGTGCTGCAGGAAAGTTAACAATTTTAAGGTGGAGTTGTGGTGAGTGACATTTCTTGTATTTTTGATTATCTGTAGGAATCTCATTGTGTAATTTTTATTGTCGCAGTGAATCTTTCGGAGATTTAGAATCAAGGCTTACTTATTAATCTACCATGTCATATATATAGGGCTCCAGATAGAAATTTGATATGCTTATAGAAACAAAAACAACCTTTATCTGATAGTCTTTAAAAATCATATTTATCTGATTAATTTCAGCAAATTGTTGTGTTGACTACAATCATACAATTGTCATTCTTCATAATTTCTTCAAAGTTGGTTTAGTTTGAAAAGGTTATTGAATATTTAATAACTTATGACCATAGATGTTAACTATGTGATGTAATCTGTAATGTGACATTAGATGATGTAATCTGTTGTGTGAAATTAAATGGTGTAATCTGTTATGTGACATTAGATGATGTAATCTGTAATGTGACATTAGATGATATAATCTGTAATGTGACATTAGATGATATAATCTGTGATGTGACATTAAATGGTGTAATCTGTAATGTGACATTAGATGATATAATCTGTTATGTGACATTAAATGGTGTGATCTGTTATGTGACATTAGATGATATAATCTGTAATGTGACATTAGATGATGTAATCTGTGATGTGACATTAAATGGTGTAATCTGTAATGTGACATTAAGTGGTGTAATCTGTTATGTGACATTAGATGATGTAATCTGTAATGTGACATTAGATGATATAATCTGTTATGTGACATTAGATGATGTAATCTGTAATGTGACATTAGATGATGTAATCTGTAATGTGACATTAGATGATATAATCTGTTATGTGACATTAGATGATATAATCTGTAATGTGACATTAAATGGTGTAATCTGTAATGTGACATTAGATGATATCATCTGTGATGTGACATTAAATGGTGTAATCTGTTATGTGACATTAAGTGGTGTAATCTGTTATGTGACATTAAATGGTGTAATCTGTAATGTGACATTAAATGGTGTAATCTGTTATGTGACATTAAATGGTGTAATCTGTTATGTGACATTAGATGATGTAATCTGTAATGTGACATTAGATGATATAATCTGTTATGTGACATTAGATGATGTAATCTGTAATGTGACATTAGATGATGTAATCTGTAATGTGACATTAAATGGTGTAATCTGTAATGTGACATTAAATGGTGTAATCTGTTATGTGACATTAGATGATGTAATCTGTAATGTGACATTAGATGGTGTAATCTGTAATGTGACATTAGATGATGTAATCTGTAATGTGACATTAGATGATATAATCTGTGATGTGACATTAGATGATGTAATCTGTTATGTGACATTAGATGATGTAATCTGTAATGTGACATTAGATGGTGTAATCTGTAATGTGACATTAGATGGTGTAATCTGTAATGTGACATTAAATGGTGTAATCTGTAATGTGACATTAAATGGTGTAATCTGTTATGTGACATTAGATGATGCAATCTGTAATGTGACATTAGATGATATAATCTGTGATGTGACATTAGATGATGTAATCTGTTATGTGACATTAGATGATGTAATCTGTAATGTGACATTAGATGATGTAATCTGTAATGTGACATTAGATGGTGTAATCTGTAATGTGACATTAGATGATATAATCTGTAATGTGACATTAGATGGTAATTTAATGACAATATTGACTGTTTTTGGGTGATATTGTTTTATTTTTCAGTATTTTCTGATACAAGAGACAGTCTGTACTTATTAAAAGATCGCGTTTTCCATTTCTTTAACAGTTTGACAGTGGTTATATTAGACATCAATTTACAAATAACTCTTCTTTGTCCATAATTTTATATACAAACATTTCAGAAAATATTTTCATATCTGTTTTCTCCTGATTATATTCCTCGAATACTTGAATCATTGTCTTTGAAATCCCTTTATAGAAAAATATACTTCCAGATCTGTTATATTGTGATCGGACCATTAGACTTCAAAATAAAAGTCTTAATAGCTTAATTGTATGCAAGTAGATGTGCATGTATCAGAAATTTCAAATATAAGAAATTAAAACTTATATTGATTTATTGGAATTAAGCAAATTTTCAAGAATTAAAAACACTATAAATTATGGAAATATGTTAGATCATTTTGAAAGAGAAAACAGTTTTGAAAATTTGGTTGCGTGGTATTTTTCAAACTGACAAACTATGAAAACAAAAACATTAACTTCAGCTATACAAAGAAGATTTAAGTAAGATGTTCTACAATAAGTTTTTCTAATATATAATGTGAATATCTATAGTTTATAGATAGATAATGGGTTTAAGATGTTTACTGTATTTTGTTTACAACTGGTGCTGGAATATTGTGTGAAATGATACATATTTGTGTATTTTTGTTTTGATAAATATCTTTTTGATATAATGTTCTCCTAAACCTGTAAATATCACCTCTCCAGTAGTCACCAATTTATTGTGTGGGAAATCTTTGATAATTTTCATACATAACAAAAAATAATCTTGATTTCAAAGAAAAAAGAAAGAAAAGAAAAAATACAAATGTTAACAACAGTATTGTTTTAACACAGGAGTGCCCTGAGATGAAGAAATTTGATTCAATTGTATTCAATATGGAAATGGTCATTTTTATCACATTTTGGAAATTATATTTTGAATTTAAAGCAAACAAAACCCATTTGAAACAATTGTAATTAAAATTTTCCATCGAAGCATCATTAAAATGTTTGTCAACATGTGGAGATTAAATAGTATTTCTGCTTAAAATGTTCAGATTTATGCCATATGTGTTCATGGAGAAAATGTATTGATTGATACAGTATTTGTTTCATTTTATCATTTGAAACAAGTTTTTTTTCTTTCTTTTTTCTATTACAGTCTAATCATTAAACAATTAAACAAAAGCTACTGTGCATTACCAAGAGAAATTCACCATGACTATAGAAATCATTGTTTTTGTTTTAGAAGCAAATGTCACATGAGAAAAAAAAAATTCTATAAATATTTTTTCTAAAGATTGTTTCCCACCAACACAGACATTCCCTTGGCACATCATGGAAATGTTATCAGTATTAGTGTTTTAATACTACATTTGATATTTTGTGAATAGATCTTTTATTATTAGTAGTATTTCAATGCTTTACCTGGTTATTTTACCCTTATGACCACCTCATGATTGTACAGCTTCAAGGTGTACGATTATCATGCTACAGTTATCTTTTTTGTTTGAGTTATCTCCCCTTAAAACACTAGATTATAAGGAGCATCAAACATAAAAAACATAAAAGATTTCATTTCAACTTTTATGTTTCTAGTTTGTGCCATTTAGGCATCTGGTTTTTTTTTTTTTTTTTTTTGTAAAAAATCTCAATCTTTACAAATCCAGGACATGAGATGCTCATCTACAACCCACTACTATAATGGAGAAGTGATGCTATTTATAGCAGAATGTATACTGGTTTTTGTTTAGATGTCTAGAATTTCACAAGACAAACATGATACAAAAAAATTTCCAAACAGATTGGAATCAAAATCTCCATGTAAAAAGTAGACTGAAACCACTGTAGAAGATATTTTTTGCATAATTAACGTACTGAAAATTCAATATATGGATTGACTTTGTCTTAGTGTTATTTTATTTCAATTTTAAGGAGGATTTGAAATTCAAAAATTTGCTACAAGTTAGGCATAAATGGTTATCCCAAAACTATATAAAAAAATAAGTTTGACATTTAATGCAAAAATGTTTTGATAACAGCAATTTCATTACTTCAACAAACAGTCTCTCTTAAGACGATAACTTATACTGTTACCCTAAAGTGTGATGTGTAGGAATATTTTAACTGAGTTAAACATATGAATTTACATTTTCTCCACTATTTGATACATTCCACTTGAGTTTGTGTTTGTTTCTTTATTTTGAATGACACATGCACATGTATATTTTACTGAATGTTTCAAACTTTGAAAAAGATTTATCATTTAATGGCTTTGGGTTTTTAAATTAAGTGTATAATGAATTAATGTCATTAAAACCATGCATATCTACGAAGCTGTCCATTTTTGGATACAGGTACATTTAGAAATTCTTAAGAAAAAAATGCAAGGAAATCATGCAATTTCTAATAAAAATGACTAATGATTGTGCTTGAGATTGTAAGGAATCAGATATGTCTTAAATTAATTATGTATTAGAATTGTTCATGCTGTTTTGTGGTAACGATACTTTAGAGTGAGCAACATGGCTGATTTTTCTTATTTTTTTCCAAAGAAACAACATGTTGTATTTTTACCTGTAATTATATGAGTTATAGTTGAAAAGTTTAACTGATGTGATTTGTGAGGTATTGGAGGTTAAGCAATTTATTTTTAGCTCACCTGGCCGTAAGGACCAAAAGAGCTTGTGGCATACTGCAGCATCTGGCATCTGTCTGTCCTTCAACTTTTTCATACAAATCGCTACTAGTCATAAGTGACTGACAGGATTTTGATCAAATTGGGTCAGCAGCATCCCTAGGGAACACATTTTTTATACATAGTGCTTCTCTAACCACTGCAGGCCCCAAAAGGGGAAATCTTAATATCCTACTGTAAGAATGAATGGATATTTCCCTACTTTAGTCTGAAATATTCTTTGTGAAGTGGATTTCAATTGTGTATAAACAGGGGATTTCAGCCCCTAACATGGGAGGGGTGGGGGCCCAATAGGGAAAATAGAGCAAATTCTTTAAAATCCTACTTCTCCATTAGGAATGATTAAATATTGCCCATATTTGCTCTGAAGTAGTCTTGGGTGAAAGGGAACAAAATTTGTGTAAGGATTGGTAC